AGGCACCAAGCCCTCTGCAGTATAATTTATGAGATGCTGGCCTACCATCCAGAGTTAGCGGCAAGGATTTGCTGTGCTGTGTTATGAACTTCTTCAAGCTCTTACGAGGAAAAGCGCAATGTGAAGAGGAAGGGCCGCATCAAATCCATGGCAGGCATAACACTCCTCTAGCCATGCCATGCATTTTCCTTTACCAAGAGTAACACTGGTGAGCCACAGGTCTGTGGGAAGCACCTGCAGGTCTTGCATTTCCTGTGATAGCCCTGTGCCAGTGTCAGTGAGTGTGTCGGAGGAAGGACATGGAAGAGGGCTCTGCTGTACTATATAGTAGATGTTGGCAACCTGGTGCTATCCAGATGCCTGGACTGCAGTCCTGATCAGCTCAAAGAGGCATGGCTAATAGTAGGGGATAGTGCAAATTGGAGTCTTAAAAGATCTGGATAGTACAAGGTTGCCTTCTTGTCCAGATTCATTCTCTCTCTCTCTCTCTCTCTCTCCCTCTCCCTCTCCCTCTCCCTCTCCCTCTCCCTCTCCCTCTCCCTCTCTTATTCTTGTTTTCATTCTGACATTTCTATTTTGAAACTAGATTTCAGGCAGTGCAGTCCTGCACATAACTACTCTGATGTAAGTCTCACTGAGTTCAGTGGACAATACTCCCAGATAATTTTGGATAGGAACACAGCCCTGGACCGCAGTTGTCCCTATGAAATATTGATATGCACTGAAAAGCCACATTTCCCTTGCACCTGGGATGTTGCTGTTTCAGCATTCTGCACGCCAGGAAGAGATGGGCATGCCTCTTTCAAGGCCTTTGCACTGTTGCCCCAACCAGGTCGGTTTGGAGAAAAGGGACGCTTTGCAGGGCTCAGAGGTCCATGGGAGAAGAGCTGGAGACTCATGAGCATTTGTTTCCTCATGCCCCATCACTGGGAGGAAGTCTAAGGATGTGCAAACCAGTGATTTTCTCACAAAAGCACTGCAACATTTTTGGCTTGTTCGTGTTTTCATTTTACACCAGTTTGCAGAGGATTTTCCATTACAAATGAAGAAAGTAATACTTCTGCACTTATTTTTCTAATGTGTGCACTCTCCCCCCATTAACTGAAGTATGAAAATGTGTATTTTTAAAGAAAAAATAATCTCAATGTGGATATATTTAAAACATTATTTTTACACATGATTGCAATTCAAGAGTTTTCAAACATTTCTTGGGAAAAAACATTCCTGCTTGCATTTAATACAGAACTGCCAATGGGAAATGTATCCATGATTTGCAAACAGAAACAAAATTCTTATACCCACCTTAATGCAATTGAATCCAAATTTCAAAATACTTTTGCAATCAATTTAAATACAAGTTATTCTTATTAGGTCATCATTCCAAATTGACCTAGGGTCAATTGAGCTATCTCTACTTTCCAAAAAATTAATAATGATCATTTCAACTTACTGGTACTTTAGGGATATTTCTATACTTGTTGGAAATGAGTGCAGAGAGTAGAGTTTCGGTGTATTCAAGTGTACCTCACATACTGCAGTATCTCACTTGAGAAATTGTGTTATTCCTTGGAAGATTAGGCTAAGGCCATTATTAAGGGTAACATCCCTGAGGCTGCTGAAACTGAGAAGCACCAGTTTCAGAGGGACCCAACTGGCATGAGGCTTCGTTATACAAACAAGCATCACTCCCACCTTCTTGACCCCAACCAGTCTCAGCAGGCTGCAGAAGCAATTCCTAGTACTCTTTAAAATTGTCCACTGTCGACAGTATATGGAAAGGCTTTATTGCAACTCCATTCCACAGTGCACACACATGCTGAAAATGCTCCACTAATTTATTAGAAAGACATTTATAGATTCCAAAATGTAGCAAGGTCACATCCCGCTGGAACATGTTTTCTGCTTTGGGAAGAAGCCACCAGAACAAATGGAGTAAAGGCTGCATTTTAGCATTCAGCAGATACTGCGTTGACTATGCTGGTTGGTTTTGACCAGAGAGTGCAAAAATGTACCAGGTTCCAATTTAAGTTGGAACTGCTTGTTGTGGCACGCTTCTGTATTTGTACTGAGCATTGTCGCATTCCTTCCATATGCGCCACAATGCAGGCAGAAAAGTTTTGTTCCTCTGATACTGACATTCCAACATTTGAAATGTTAAATAATATATCTGAGATACGCCACAGGCAGCACAACACCTGATAGTCTCTTGTTCGTTCATATGTCTTTATATTGATTTCATATAAGCTGAAAGAGATGTAACTTAACTATTGTTGTAGCAATAGATTCATATTGTGTGTGTGTTTGTGTGCACGTAGAGGGACATAGAGAGAAATAAATGAAAATCAGCTCTCCCTTTCATTGCTGGCTGCTGGGAGTATTTTCTTCCAGCAATGAAACACCACTCATGAGACTTTTCAAACCAACCTGTTTTGAGAACTACTCTATGAGGAAGTGGGTTGCTAGATTTTGCCACATCTATTAGATTACCTTTCCCTCAACGTAGTATCTTCTGTAGTTTTAGACCACAGTTCTCCCCATTCCTGACCATTGGTCATGCTGGCTGCAGCTGATGGAACCTGTAGTGCAAAGCATCTGAAGGAAAACAATTTGGGGAAGGCTGTGTTAGAGAATAAGGACTGGCATTTCTTGGTCATGGATCAGTCATCCTAATCATGAACAGAAATAATTTGGTGGGATTGAAAGACTGTTGCTGGCTGTGAGTTTTAAATTCTAAAAGTCTTGAAAAATCTGTTGGGAACAGTGGGCAATGCTATTAAAACCTCATGAAAAACATAATGAAGCTTTTATTTCTATGCACTACCTATCATTTATCAAAACTGCTCATCCTGCCTTCTTAATAGTGTTGTGTATTACACGACTACTGAACTAGCTGATGAATGCTGATCAGTAGGAAACTGAGTCTTTGTAAATACAATATTGGGGTTTAATGATGCTGTTAATACCTCTGATAGCTTTTAGAAACAATAATAGCAAATAAGGAAACAAAATGAATGTTTTGCAGTGGTAGAGCACATTCATTTTGTTTCTTGGATTTATCTGTCTCATTTGAGGAATTCTTATTCTTTAAAGATCAGTTGCAAGTTATAGTCAATGCTCAGTAGGAGCCCAGAGGAGCACTCGAACCAATCAGCATTTGATACTGAGTGTATCAAATTAAAGCTGAAATGTTTTGCACAATAACTGAGGAGTAAGTCCCACAGAACCTAGTAGGACTTCTGAGCAAATCTGGAGAAGCAATGCAAGGCATGTATACACTTACGCATGTTTAGGCAGAAAAAGAAATCCTACAACTCCCACCATTCCCCAGCCAGGACTGTGGGACTTACTCCTGCCTAAATAAGCACCAGATTGTACCCTAACTGAATTTGGTTGCAGTCCTAAAAGTGGAACAGGCACTGTAGAGCGTGTGGGACTTTGCCTCCAAATGAGTGTGGCTCTGTTAACATTACCATGTTTGTACATGGATGGCAAAGAAAGTGTGCTACGAAGAAGCTCTGACTTAATATGAAGTCTTAACAAAGCAGAAAATCCTGTTTTGAGATGTGCTGTGTATCTTTGTGGTGGTGGTTTTTCACAGTACAAAAATAATAGAGTCTGTTTAGCCCAAGACACTAAGGGCAGGTCAGATAAGACCTTAATCCCCTTGGGAATGTTACCCATACCCAAATTCCCCTGTTCCAACCAGTCCTTCCTGCTTCCCCTCTTCCCTGCTCCTCCGTCCTCCTGGGAACAATGCAGGAGCACCAAGCACTGCAAGCTCAGCCATTGATTTGGATTCAGTATTAGGGGACTTTTGTGAAACAGTGGAAAGTTCAGCAGCCATGGGAGCTATCAAAGGACTTCTGCTAAATCCACAACATGAGCTATGCCCATTTATGTAGGACTAAGTCTCACTGAGCTCCATGGAGCTTGGCTCTGAATGCACTGTAAACTAGCGTTCCTTTGGTTTCAACAGAGCATACTACCTTGGGCTAAATTTGTTTGATTCTGTGCTGGGTTAATATTTTAATTCTTTACTTCATTGAAGACATCCGTAGCAATCTGGAAACTACACACTTCACAGGGCTGGCAATTTGTGGCCCTCCTGGGTTCCCTTATCTTTAGCTGTGCTGACTAGAGCTGGTAGAATTTGTGGGCCAAAACAATTTGAGGACCACAAGTTGCCCACCACTTTCCTAGGCCCAAGTCCTATGCAGTTTTCAAATTGCTGCAGAAATCTAAAATCTGGGAAATGTATCAATGCGCCATTGACCTAGTGCAGCCTATGCTCTACTAGTTTATTCTAATCTCATTTCAGTCTCATCTGCTGGTACTGACAGATGAGGTTGAAGAACCAGCAGTTTGTAGGTTGAATAGAATGCCATTGCTTGGGAAAAGTATCACATAGCTAGTGGATTTTGCTTCTATAAAAACAGCCTGTGTTATTTATGAAGTGAACCCACAAAGTTACAATGGATGCCTTCCGAAATAATATTCCATGAGCAGAAATACAGCCTGAGTCTTCAGTCCTGCTCCTAGCAGAGCCCTCAGAAGCCCTCTTGCTCACCCACACCCCAACACACCCCAATTTAGAGATCTCTTCCAGTGCCAGACATTGAGAATCCCAAATGTTATGGGCATTTTCATAAATCCCCAATGAGCCTCAGATGACAGCTATTTGGGATGATCTTGTGATGTTCAAAGCAGTGCCTGTGGTTTGTGGAGCATCTCTTTTTTGATAGGGTAGGAGACAGGGCTGCAATTACTGCCTGAAAATCAGGACCAAAGCCACCTTTCACCACCTCTCCTCGCCATTCCTCAAACCTGAACTCTGTTACTCAGAATTCCTATGTACATTGATTGTCAACTTTGTGGGTAAATGAAAGAACAGAGGGGCAGCCGACTGCAGGTAAAGCATACAGAAAATAAACAGCAACAACACATTTGCTTTTGAGCTTATGTTTCAAGATCTCACTGCCATATATTTGTCTTCCTTTCAGTGCACCCCGTGGAGATCACAGATTTGCTCAATGGTGGTTTCTGTGATTTACGCGTTTCTGACTGCAGCCGAACCCATGTGTTTGGATTTATCTTCAGCAACACTCCTGATCTTCACTGTGAAGTCACCAGGTTGACTGTGAGTAATTTAATACGAGATCACATAAAGAGGCTTCCTTTTGTCAGGAATCCTTTCTTTCATTTGCTGGATCTATAGATAAGGAGAGTGGAACCATCTTGGTTACAGTGCTCTCCAGAAAAAGGATCTACAAAAGCCACATCACTGAGTTAAAAGTTCTGAATACATTTTTGAAAGTAAAGTCACACAGACATGTGGAAGCTTACCATTAACTTTTCCCAGTCTCAAAGATCAAAGGCTAAGTTAACATGAGAGACGTGAGCAGAGACGTGAGCAGACATGTGAGAGAAGCCAGCTGGTGCTGGGGGTCAGACTAGATGGCCTGGGAGGGCCCTACTGACTCGCTCTGTTTCTCTGTTTCTATGTACTTGGTCTATGTATTGAGTGATAACAACTCAATAATCTGGTTTCCTACCTCCTGAGCCACATGGTTAGGGATGGTTGGCATTTGGAGGCAGGAGGCCCAGCTTAACCCCAGCCCTTCCTGTATTCCCCCTTTCACCACCACCCAGGCTGAAACTTACATGGAAGCAGAACATCGCCTAGCAATTTCATGGTTTGCGCCTGATTTGCAATTGCTGCCAAGTGTGCTTCTCCTGCCCCAACAGCACTATCTTCATTTGTGCACGCTTGGACAAGCACAGAAAAACTTCCCCAGGAAAGACACAGGCAAGGGACAGAATCGGGCAGGGTCGCCTAGGGTGCTTGCTGGTGCTCTTCGCAACGGCAGGGAGTTCTGGTCAGAGGAAGGAAGCTGAGCTGCCTAGCAGCCTCCAGTGGGCATGAAGAGAAGCAGAAGGGCTGCTGGCTTGGCCACTCTGGAGTGCTCAAGGGATGGGCCAGGCAGCCAGTGAAAATGGGTGTGTGCCTCACAGGGGAAACACAGTTGGCACTCTTTTGTTTGCACACTGTTGCACACTGTTCTTAGCATCCTGCATCCAGTGCATCTTCTCCCCACTCCTGGAGGACTGACTCTTCATTGAATGCAAAGCAGTAATTCTGTGTGAGTGAATAAGCAAGACAAAGCAAGAGAGTCTCCCTCTCATTAATGAAATTCCTTCAGCTGAGAACTGGCAAAACCATACGCAAAGGGAATCCCCCATCCCCACCACCTTTATTGGAGATGGTTGCTGTCGCTGAGGGCCACTGCATTTTTTCTCAGGTCTGCTGGCAGCGGGTCATGCCCTCCATCCCTTGATCAATATCTGGTGTCTGCGACACAGTTCGGTTTCTCTTGTTTTATTCCAAGCAAGTTGTGGAGAATGTGGGGCAAGACCAAATGGGTCTTTTTCTTTTTCTTTGAGCAAAATGAGAGGCATTTTTCTTGAGGAAGAAAATATAGTGGGCTTGGGAATGTTTATCAGTCTTTGCCCAGTCTACTATAGTATCTTGTTCAGGAAAAAATGCGGTTGTGGTGCCCACAACCACCACATTTTGCTGAAGAAGGGAGGGAGGGAGGCCTGCTCTTGAGTGTATGCAGAAGTGGTGCTGAGATTTCAGGAACACTTTTTGCAGAACTTTTACATTTGGTTTTATGTTTGCATGACGGGAATACATTGAACATTCTTTACCTTTACTACTGCATTCGGTTTGTGATTGTGTGGAGGAAAACAAGGGATATCCAGTTGCTTTTGTGTAGGAAGATTAGATGTTGTAAACCTTTGGATTCACCTTAGCTGGCTCCTTGGTTTCACCTCTGACCTGCTCTCCACTGAACCAGTTTAATTGGCCTCAGGCCACTGCTGCACATTGTTCCAGTGGCAGGATCCATACAAATATGCCTTTTGTTATGGGAACTGGAACTGCTAGGTCCGCTTTCTTCTCTGCAGATTTTATCTAATTGATATAAGATTGTGTTTAAGTGAATCAAAACCATGCTGTCTCTTCTATTTCTCTGTAGGCTTTTATCCCAGTTAAACCCTAGTTCACTGAAGCTCAAAATCACAGTATTATTGCTTCTCAATTTTGTGCATCTGGAATCTATACGCTTGACTGTATTTCCCAACGCATTTGAATTTTAAGTGTCAGAGCTAACTATCTGAGCTGCCTGGTACGCAGCTGTAGTCTACAGTTGAATGGTGGTCTATTAAGATCATTATTGTATATCTTATCAAGTAATAGTTTTATAAGGCCAAACATAGTGAAATCTATTGTTAAAATTATTTGGATGGGAATGATTCTCAGACATAGTATTTCAAAATGGTAGATATTACAAAGTGTGATTCTTTCCTTACTGAAGTAAGGAAAATGCCATACTTCTTAATGGCAGAATATAGCTTACTAAAATTCAAGGAAGCCAACATGTTGTGTGATTTACCAGTAAAGGGAATGTACCCTGACTCATACATTTTGCTAGGGGCATGGTTGAAACCCACATTCTCAAAGGACAGAAAAGTGACAGACTTAACATCATCCATTTATTGGTATGCTGCTTTTCCATGGTAAGAACGTGCTTAAAATGGCTCACAACACCAAAAATTTACAAAATAAACTTTTTACAAATCATAATATGGTTTAAATAAGAATATGTATTAAAGCATTTCACAGTGATAAATACGCACTAGGATTAAACAGTGCAATAATAATTATATTAATGAGCAACAAAGGAAGAATTATTATTACTAGTCTTATCACATTGCATTTATATCCCACCTTTTTCATCTTGCAGAGAACCAGAGGTAGCTGACATAGTTTTCTTCCACTCCCTTCCACAACAACAAACCTCAGCGATAGGTTAGTCTGAGAATGAATGACAGGACCAAAGTCGCCCAGTGAGCTTCATGACCAAGGGGGGACTGGAACCCAGGCCTCCCAGGTCTCTACCAACCAATCCGAATTACAGCAATAACCAACAGCTTCTATAGCTGGAGTCTGTTACAGCCCCACCTTTCCAGACCGGGTGGAAAGAGCTGAAGAAGCAGGGACCGGGGCTGGATCAACACCTAGGCTCGTTTCATTAAGATCTCAGCGCGGTGCTGCTATATGCACATCCCACACCCCTTGCTCCTAGAACACATGGGAAGAGTTGTGGAATGGCCACAGTCTTCATGCTGTTTTCCCATGGCACATAGATACTCTTAGTGCTATTAGTGATCGTTGCTCACTTGATGATATTTATCATTATTTGAGAATGTGTCAGCAGCTGGAAAGGAAATGCATGCAAGAAAATGACCCATTCGGTGTCCCCTATTTTGTAATTGTTTTTAGTTCAATTAGCTACGAGTACATACACCAGCAGTGGAATGAAAGTGGGCAAGATGCTGTTACCCCCTTCAGGAAAATGAAATACAATAAAATAACATCTTGGAGAAGGTGAAAGGGTGCCACTTCCTGCCCCATCCTCACAATGCCCATGGGGTGAAGCCAGTGAGACCCATAGCACCTCCATTCCTTCCAACCCAAACCAAGCAAGGGCAACCTCCTTCCATGCAGACCTTCCCCCTAGTTAGGTATATGATGGTCAAATGAACAAAAGGGCAGAGATACTATGAAAGGAAAACACAGCGGCACTTCCTCCTGTCCTCCTGCACCAAAAAAGAAAGAAACCATGGAGAAGGAGACGGGGGGCTGGCGCTTGCTCCTGCCCTTCCAAGCTGGTGGGACCAGCACCCACTTCCCTTCCACCCAAAGCCAGCAAGCAGTACTGCCTCCCACACAGTAGTCAAGAGGGTTTAATTCTGAGTCAGTCCATTGAGGTTAATGTGACTTCCTTCTGGGCAGACCTGCATTTCAACTACTTATTTGTTAAGCAAGAAGACAAGTTGGGAAGGCACAGAGAGACACCAGGGCCTATATTTTTTTCAGGGGGAAGTGCAGGGAGGCATTTGCTAGTCAAAGAGAGAAGGGAGATGGTGAGGGAGGCAGGAAAGCAACTGGAGGATCCCGGAGTTGCTGCCCTGTTTTGCAACGCCTGACCCTGGATGGGACACCAAGGCAAGGACAGCAGAGTGTGGGCACAGGCAGTGCAGCTGAAGCTCAAGAAGGAGATAAGAGAGAATAAAGCTGGCCATGAAAAGTGCACAAGAGAAGGAGAGGGACAGCTGGCCAGAGACAGAAGAGGAGTGGCTTCACATCCCACTGGAGTTACTTCAGGGAGACCCAGTCCTGGTCTGGGACTGGGGAGACCTAGTCCTGGTCTTACAGGGCTCACAACTAGCTTCAACACCCACATGGATACTGTAAACTTCATCATCGCTTGAGGATACTGCTGCCAGCAATAAATGCTATTGACATGATCAGTTTGTCCTATAATATCAATCCCTTCAAATGCTGTCAGTGCAGTCCAATTATGGGGATGTGGTAATAATACCATGCACATAACATGCTAATTAAGCAAGAAAAGAATAGGAAATTTCCAATGATGAAATATTGCCACCATCTGGACTATCTGGGGTGGGAAGATCTAAACCACCCCTTTTGTAACCCAGCTCTCAAGACTGTGAGCATATCACTTGCTAGATTCAGTTTTATTAAAAACAATTTTTTAGCATTCATAGTAGAGGAACAGTCCAAAAAAATCAGGAAAACATAAACCCAGAAAAGGTTAAAGTATTATAGCAGTGTTTTTCTAAAATCCCTTCTTTGCTGAAGACTTAAAGTTGTGAGGGCTTTTGCTATCAAATTCTGAAGGAAGTCACTGATATAATGAAGAAATACAGGTTACCTTGCAGATAGGGAGAAAGGAGAAAGATTGGTGAAGTGTTTATGTGGTTGTAACTATAGGGATTGGGCTCACTCCTCCTATTAAAGAGCCTCCAAAGGTTCTGCATACAGATTTTGATTTAGACAAGGGAGAGTATCCAGAATTTGCAGCTGAAATACCAAGGAATTCAAGGATAGGCCAGGCAGTCACTGAGAACCAGATAATTTCAAATTTTGTGGGAAGTTCAGTGTGTGAACTGGTGTGGACCTAACATCATTAATCTGAGGGGATGGCTGAAAGGGTAGACCAGCTGTCAAGTGTCAGAAACTCTAAGCAAGTGGCTCTGAAACAGGAGGTTTGAAGGTGTCATTTGTTCTTTTCACAACTGGGAAGGGAGGACGGGCATTTAGTTTGGAAACCAACTTCTGACCAATCACTGACCATATCCCAGACAGCCAGGAGTACAACTTCGGTGACTTCCCTGGTTATTGACTTCTGCAATACTGTTGTTTTGTACCTCAAAGCCAGCCTAGTGGTTAGGCTTAACCTAATAAATTCATTAGACAGCCTTTGCCCTGATCTGCTTGGAAAGAGGGGGAAAGGACTGGTCTTGACAGTACCTATAACTGCAATATATGGAATCATAAGAGCCACGTCTGTCCCTTCATATGAGGACCATTTCTGTGTCCACAAATAGAAAGGATGGAGAATAATGAATTACTTGCACTGATTGCACATTCCCTCTTAAATTGGCAATGTATGTGACATCTGCCTAGCCTACTAAATACGAAGGGGCTTTTTTTTTTTTTTTGTGGGGGGATCTACAATCAAATGTAAAACCTCACTAGAGAAACATAAACCAAATAGAGATCTGAAGATCTGTGCTCAACAGATTTTCCCCCATGCTCAATCCTAGTCAGGAAGCAAGTCAGGCTGAGATCAGGTCCATGAAATGAGGAACACTAGGGCCTTCTTTGCTCAAAAGTACACAAAGTAGGCAATTCTTTGCAGAAAGCATGCAAACTACACACAGCCCCCACCGGGTGTATGAGACAGTGTGGAAGAAGTGCAGGTAGTGGATTCATCGCTGCTCATGAATTTGAGGGAAAGTGGGAAATCCAAAGATGCACAATCGCTGGAGCACTGCCAAGTAGTATTGCCCTTCTCCACAGCAACTCTTTTATTCAAATATGACTGTGAAAAGGTATATTATTTCCATTAGAATTTCTACTCTGTGTTCAGCGCTAATCAAATTCCTTTTGCAGCTCCATAACTGACCAAAATTGACCCAAAAGAAAAAGTATTAATCAGGATCATTTGAAATATAAATATATGTAGACCTGTAATGATTCATTCACCTCTTATTGCTTTCTTTCCTATAGTATCACAATGGTAAGTGGATATCCAGAGAACATGAAATCACAAAAGCGAAATTTTTGAACTTGACAGCTGCTGAGTGTCAGATCCCTCCTCTGAACAATACAGGAGCAGAAGCTATTCGTTTCATGAGGGATATTGAACCCTACGCAAGATGGCAAGTGAAAGTAGGAATTTCTTGTGCTACTAGCAAAACAATTTTAAGAGAGATTTTTCAAGCCTTGTGATGATAAAATGGAGATTACAGATTGCAGCTCCTTGCTAATCACTGTGAATAGGGGCACAGAAGTCCAAGAGATCTTTAGTATTGCCTAACAATAAATAAGAAAACAAAGGAATAGCAGAAATGACAATTTTAATAAGTAGTCTTAAGGTGCAAATTACAATCACTGTTCCTAGTAATCATCCTGAGCTGATAGGGTGGGTGAATCAATTCTTAATCATCTGCATTTCATTTCTAGAGGCATAGACTGAAATAGTTGATTAGGTCACAAGTACGAAATTACTTCAACTTTATACCGCTGTCCATATACTGAGAAGGGGCCTCTTTGTCTCTTATCCTCCGTGTTGACATTGGTATGTAAAACAGTCTTGCTGAAAGAGAAAATTGCAGACTGCCCAGCCTCTTTAAATGTCGCTGTAGAGAAACGGAAGCTGCACTCTGGTGAGCACCTTCTGCGAGGCAGGTATAACAAGCATTCCACTGGCCCAAATGCTGACCATAGAGATCTTGCCCAAGAAATTGTCTCACGTGTGCCAACACACAGTTGGAAGGTAGCCACCTTCCCTCTGTCACTAACATTGCTGCACCAGGCACCAGTTCTTGCTTGCCTCGAACCTTCCACCCATGGTGCTGCTTGACATGCACCGCTTTGCCCAGATGCATGTCACCCCATGCCATGTGGATTCTAGAAAACAACCTCTTTGCTGCTCCTTGAGGGCCTCTTATGCCCCTATCCCTCATTCTCCAGGTCCTGTTCACCTGCCATCCTCCAAACCAAGGGAGAACAACTTAGGGTCTCCAGAACCTTTGGTCTACAATCCCTCACTAGTAGGGATGTGTAAAGCAACAAAACCTGAGCTTACCAAAGTTCTCTGAATTCCTTCCTGAAGTTTGTTCTGACCATATCAGATCGTGAGCTTTGGAGCCTCTTGTTTTGCTTTGCTTCTTTTCACCTGAAAATCACATGTAATCATGAGCTGTGCACATCTTTGAAATGTACACATTTCATTGATTAAAGTGCATCTGTGTACATTTTCAAAAGCACACCTTTTTCTTGCACATTTTTGAATGTGTGTATCCTGTCCATCAATTTTGGGGGGATGGGGGGGTCCACAAATGACACTATAAGCTCAGAAATGTACAAGCTTCAATTGCAGAATGTATCTAAGACAATGTTCAGTCTGAAAATTGCAATTAAGTAAATCCTGATCAAAAATAAATGGAAGAAAATATGTCATACATCCCTACTGTTGAGTCTGCTCCCATGCAATCCATGTGGTGCACAGGAATTTTGTTCCCACCACATTGCCCACATCAGAGTGTTTTGGATGATGTATGTAAATTTGCTGCAGTAGCCTGTTGACTTTTCAAAGATGCATCTTTTTGATAGGGAGAAGGAGACCGGTATTTATTTATTCTTTTAACAAAAGCACAGTAAGCAAAAGAAATTGAGTTTATTTGAATTTCTTATTACAAAGAAGTTGCAGATGTTCTAGCCATTATTAATATTCATTGGTTTGATCATTAGTGCTGTGCTAAGAAAATAAACATCTTGAAGGCTTGGGTGAAAGAAAGAAATTAAGGTTAAAATTGCATTCGAAGTGATCAGATTAGGTCAGTTTGCTTTTGCCTGCAAAATGTTTGAATGTAAAATTAACCCTTCTTTAAACTCCATGGTTTTCATCAACTGGGTCTAGAATTTTCTCAAAGTTAGGAGCTTTGAAACCTCTCACATTAACTTTATCTGGGACTTTATTGCTGTGTCTGCTAGATCTTGTGGAGGCTGTTCCCAATCAAGGGCTTAAGACTAAACCACCCGAACAAATAACTATACTCAAATTAAAGTTTCACTTTTGTTTTCAGATTTGAGCCACTGGCTTTTTTCTTTTTACAAATTATGTGCTAACTAGATGCCCTTGGAATAGCTTTTAATCTTACCATTAAAAAAACCTTTTAAAATGCTTCTCTCTATGAAGAATGGGACTAGATAGCTCTTCTTTTAAATCAGATGCTGTAATGATTGGTTTTTTCCCCTTAAAATTGTGCCAGGTTATGCTGATTCAGTTTCATTTTCTCTGAATAACGTCTAATGTCCTTTCCCCATTTTGAATTTCAAATGCTGGACATGGTAATCTTTCCTGCTCCCATGCCACCTTTTCAGACTTGAGTGAAAATACCTAATAATGTATTATCAATTTAAAGGAATGCAAGATATCATTCCCAGGGACACTTCACTTTATCGGGATCCTTTCGGCTTACTGTATTTTCTTTCCATCTTCAGACAGCAGAAGGATTTAAAATAACAATTTAAAGGAGATTTATTTTTGTTATTTGATACTCTTGCCCTTCCTTTCTCTTCTTACTCTTTCCTGTCTTCCCCAATAGATATATTTAGATTGTAATCTCCTTGAATTTTTTTGCTTATGAAATTATATACCATGCCGTGTAGACTGAAGATGTTGGTGATGAAGATTGGCTGAGCAAACTGAAGTCTTTGATTAAGACCTTTGGTGTTCCATTTGTTTGTCTGTATGTTCATGCACAGTAGCTCCATGGATCACTGAGATACCAGAATGAAAACTGGTATGCATATTTCAAGTTTAATTACCAGTTGGACCAATGCAACCATTTTCAGAGAGGAGTAAAAAATGCAGAATATAACATCAAGACATCAATCTAAAAGTTGATGTGGGTGTAAAGGATATTGTTCTGCATTTCAGTGATAAATCCCAGATCAAAGGTATAAGTCCCAATTAATTCCTATAACCCTTTTCAAGGGAAATAGGAAAGATACAGATCACAAACACAGTGAAACTTGTCCTTTAATGAAAGAGATATTTGAATAATAGTGTGAGTGTTCTGTATTTCACACACAGTTCAAAGAGAACTTGCAATGCAAGTTATAAAAAGTGATATCCAACATTTTAAAAATATGAACAATAGTTTTACTTCCATGCCCATTTTCAAAATGCAAGTTAAACTACAATAGACCCCCCAAGTATGAGGCTTCATTAATAAATGGTCAAGTGAAGTGACACCCTTAGTTTAAATGAACTTGAGGGTATTCTGTTTGCAAATGTATCTCTAAGTTTCTTTGAAATGGGAAAACTTTGGATCATTAGAATGTTGGAATGATGACTCTTATACAATCAAGACGAATTTGGTATTTCACCTTTAAATTTACCAGCATGAGTTTTTAGAAAAGAAGAAGGAACTTCCAAATGCAAAGTAACTGAATAGCTTGCCTGAATACTGACACATTGGAGAGAAAGTTGGTATACACATTCAGGACAATATTCTACATTTAAAGTAAAAAACCAAGCTCAGCACCTGCATGCATTTTTCAGAGTGGCTATAAAACATAACACCATGTTATTTCCCTATCTCTCACACTCTCTTAAATGTAATATATTGGAAGGAATGCTATGGCATTCTGTTTACAGGTTTGAATACATGCTTTACATTTCTAGCCATTTTAAAAGGGAGTGTGGAATAAAAAATATGCAATATATGGTTTTGAGAGCAAAAGGTGCCATGCATATTTTAAATACAATTCCTCTTTTATCTCCAAAATCTAGTTTGGTTTTCACACATTTTTGAAGAGAAATAAGTGATGCCTTGCTGGTATTACTTGCTGAAGTAATATCAGTAATAAAAACAACCTATTTTTGCATTGCATTTCTGTGTTAATTCTAATATTGCATTTCTGTATAGCCAAATACTGAATGGGGCTACCAGATTCAAAGACTAATTCCTATACAAAAGAAGAAGAAGAAATATGGGAAGAAAGATTGGCTGACTATTCCTGGACAAGAAAGCCATATGAAACTTTAAAAAAATACTAATATCACATGATATTGAAGTGGTTATCTAAATATGCTAATTTTCTAATTTTAATAGAACAAAAGACAGAAGTCAGATTCAGTTTGATTTTCTTCTCGCACTAAAGAAATCAAAGAACTGAGAATCAGTGCTGAGAACCCACAATTTATTTGAGTGGGATGGTGTACACTGGTATCCTGCAAGAACAGGGGGTTTGACTGATGGCCTTTATGGCCCCTTCCAACTTTACTATTCTATGATTCTATGAACCCAGAATTTCATCCCTACCCACAACATCTAGGATTGAATTGAGATTTAAGCTGCAGTTACAGGATCAACTGCACTTGCAGGATTGAGACTGTCCCTGTCATTTTTTCCTATAGCAGCCCCCCCATCCCCTGATAATGCTACTTAGAGTCCTGGTTCACAAAATTGCTGCTGTCAAGCATGGCTTATTAGTCACAATGGGTTGGTGGCACCCATGGGTACTGCAGTGCAGAAGCCCCAACACCACTGTACCTTCTTACATAAGAACCCAGGAAGGGTGGTTTGCTGTGGTGATTGATGTGTTCAGGTTGCAAATGGCTTGTCAGCCATCCCAATGACCCACCCTTACCAGATGTAAGAAGAAGCTACGGCATTCCCCAATCATGTCCCCAATATTCAAAATGGCAGCCGCCACTTGAACAGGAAAGCCTGTGATGAAATTCATGTATGGAGGGTTCTGGTTGGGTGTGAACCTGGTCAGAGGCCAGGAGACCCTGATAAATGTGTGAACTATCATGGGCTGATGTGCGGGATCCCCAAAACTTGGGGATGGAGGAATCACCTGCATGCAGAGCCATGGAAGATCCCTTACTCTTATGGAAGGCAGATACTGGATTCAATTTCCTGATAATATATGGAAAGGATGATTTGGCTAACCAGGAACAGGAGGAAAGCTACTGTGCATTCCTGCACTCACTATCAAGTATAACTGAATGTCTGTCAAAAAGATCCAGATATTGCCAACACTGTACCAGTCATGTTCAGTTAAATATTATATGACAAATTGCATTTGTTATGATGACCTGAACTTCCCTCTTTTTGCCTATTACTCTGTTTCCAGTTAAATGCATGGTGCTTATACCTGTTATAAATACATATGGCACAAAAGTCAGCCCCTATTTTTATAACATTCCCCTAGGAAAGAATGCTTTGAGCATTGCATCATGAGTTCATCAATGCTTTAGGAATCGAAATCTATCTTGGGCGGAGTAGAGGGCAAAAAATGCCATCCAGAATTGTCTTTCTTTGAGACCTTCTCAATAGAATCTTGTTGACAGCCACATGATTCCTCTAGAGTAAATGTTTTATGGATTGCAGTCAAAATGTCTGAAGCTGAATTTATAGTGCAAAATTGTGTGTGCTTGAGTAAGAAATTTACAGGAAGATGTTTAACAAAGTACACAGTTATCAGAAACCCCAGATTTTATCCAAGCAAAAAGATATTTCAGTAATAAATGAATGGCTTTTCAGTTTGCAGCATCAAGTGATTTGTTAGCTTGCAGGAAAGTAACTTGCAAGTGGTTTAATTTATCTTCTTGGCAGACATTTAGTGCAGGGGTGTATTGGGCATGTGCTTTTGAATCTGCAGACAGAATCTATATGGAATATGATCACATAAAATGATATATTTTTGTATATTTTAGATTTCTAATAATGGATTCCAGTACAGTAATTCGAAAGTTTTGACCTTGTATGACGGAGTTTGCCAGGATTGTGAATTCCATCAAAATGGGCTTTGTAAATTAAAGGTAATTTCAAAGCACTTAGAGGTTTAATACAGAGCATCAATCTTTTTCTTAACCCTCAAGCTTCCTTGGGTTGGCTGTGTAGCTTGACAAGCCTCAGAGAAGCAAATGTGTTTATTGATCAGCTGGAAGGCTAAATATATTTCTTCCATTCACTTGTAAATTCTGCCCTTTTTGATATAAATAGCCAAGAAACCACACATTGTACATAAAAATGTTTCTTCCAAATAAAATAATGTATATGTACACAGAATTTAGCACCTCTGTGCTGCAAATGTTCATGAAAGTAAATGAAACCAGGGAAATAGCAGTGCTCTGTGATTATCTCTGATAAGGCTTCTTTCACACGCAGAACTTCTTGACTGTACAGAGTTCTCTTGGTGTCTGCAAGCAACTTCTTTTTTTCTAATGTATGGTGTCAAATCCTTACTAGTCCTCTCAAATGTTCTGGGAATGTTGCAACTACCAATCCTTTTATTTCTCTGAAGTCATTATCTTCAAACATAAATGTACTTGCCACAGTTGAGAACCAACTCCGAATGGCCATATATGCTTGTTACACTCTGAACAGCATTTTGTTGACATTAGGCATGGAAACCAAGCCCTGCTGTAATTACTTTTGGATTTAGCTGGTAGGTGCTGCCACCAGCTCATCTCTTTCTTTATACCTGATTAGTTCAGTATTTTAGTTGATGACATTTAGTTAAGAATTAGGTCTTTTAAAAAAGTTAGGAAACTTTCCAGCCTATTATCTCCATTTCCTCTACATTACATGAAATGCAACTTATTTGAAATAACCATGCAAAGTCATTAGAAATGAATAATTGAGATACAAAGAATTGTTAATATAAATGCATATTAAAGAATGATGAAGAAGGGACTGACTTAAAAAAATATAAAAAGCAAGCCTTGTTAATAGTAGGATTTATTCAGGAAAAAGTGCAGAAAGGTCCATAATATTACTACAGATCATCTTTTACCAATGTTTTTGAGGTATATTACAAAACTAATTGAAACACTGAAACTGTTATCAGTGCATGGAAAACAACCAGCAAATGAGAGCTCAGTTAAAATACTTGAAATACTTCAGGAAGCAAGAACGCCTGGGTGACTAAACAATTTGCCCTTCGTGCTTCAGAGGAAGCAGAGTTAGTGGCAGGCCAGGCTTTGTGGAGAAGTCCTTCGAAGGTTGGTGGCCCCACTGCTTCTACTAGTTTGGAGGTGGGCATCAGCCAAAGAACCTGGGCAGTGGGAAAGCTCTTTGGGGGCAGGTGATCCCTTTAAGTGCTTGAGTCCCAACCTGACTGGACTTTAAAGGCAAAACCCAAACATTGAAATGGGCCAGGACGTGGAAAGGCGGCTGGTGAAGGCTTTGAGTGTGGCCTTCGGTAGCAGAGATGAGGGAGCCGTGTGAGCAGTGGCAGTCGGGACAGTGTCTGCTGCATGCCGTAGCAACTGGCGCCTGGGAACCATCCTTTGAATGTATTTCCTCCAGCTCTTGAAGCGGCACAAAGCAGCCACAGTCTGTGGCCAACCTGGCTGTCCCGTGTCCTCTCCTGTCTCATGTCTCAGTGGAAGGCATGCTAGGAAAGGAGGTTGTGATCTTCTAGGGCCAATTACTGGGGAGGGGAAATGAGCTCCCACTGGCCAGTCATCAGTCCGTACAATAGTGTGTGCTGCACATCCAATGCCTGTTTACTTAGAAGGAAATACCATTGTCTTCAAATGCACTTAGGCTGTGATCCCAATCCCGCTTACATAGGAATAAATATCACTGAATGCAGTGGGGCATATTAAGGTTGTGCTGTGAATCTGCTGGCTAGCTAAGTGCAGTCGAACAATGATAAATTAAATAGACCTCTTATGAGGCAAAAAGGTTCAAGAGCTCACATTGGTGTAGAACTCCAAATTTCTCGAAAATGTGCAACAGTGAGTACAGTCCAGATTCTCAGTGCTGGTAAACACCCTACAGATATTTTCCACTGGACTGGCACTAAATCCTAAAGCTTCTCAGACATAGCTCATTCACCTTGAAGCTTTCCTGCTGTGAAAGTCAACAGGTGGGGGAGTGTTGTGACATGCTAATTAGTTCTTATTTCATGAGGCTCTGTTTGTTGTCGCTGAAGCCTTGCAGTTGAACTGAACTTTTATATTAATGGTGAGCCTTTTAAAGATGGACTTGACCCTTAAAAGGTAAAAAATAACTGCAGTGGGTTAAATAAATGCCACCAATTTTTCTCCCACCCTTTTTCTAATCTCAGACATTGCATTCTTATCTTCCTTCCTCTTGCATCCTCCTTCCCAGCAGGCTGCTGGGGAAGAAAAGAATGGTCTTGCCAGAGGCCTAATGCAATTGCTCACAGAGGGCTTCGAAAAATGAGGCTGAGAGCTACACATAAGCTTAGGGCTGAGTGCTGTCCACCCAGGTACAAGGATGTAATCTGCATACAGCACACTGCAGAGCAGGGATGGCCAAATCCCAGCATTGATGATCTACCTTGTTTAATAGTATCTGAAGTCCATCAACTCAAGGCAGGTGTGACATAGTGGAGAACAGACATACACTTAGAATTAAGGAAGAGCAAGTACAAACTTAACTCAGGATTAAATTTAATCATTTGCAAACTTAATTATTTTCACAAACAAAGCTACTCCTGATTTCCCCTTCAAACATTGTTTGTTTGTTTCAGCTACCTAATTTAGAAAGAGGGAGTGCAGGAGAAAGTCCTCTTGTTGCTGTTAAATGATTGACTTACTGAGCCCAGGCTCCCACTGGGAAGGCTAAGAGTGTTGCCTCAGGTAGGAGGAGCATTCCCCTACAGCCACAGCCCGCTCCTGGTGTTGCTCTGGCTAGCGAGCCGTGGCCAGTGAGCTAGTGACAGTCATGGTTCCCCAGTGGCCACTGGACACCCATTGCCCAGGCTCCTCAGAGTGAGGTCCTGTGGCACCATTCCGGAGTGTCCCGCCCACTGCTTTCCTGCCATGATGGCTGAAGCAGGAAACTGTCTAGCAGGGCTCTCCAAAGCAGCCAGCCAGTCCAGGGCCTCACTCTGTGGACCACTCACAGGAGAAGCTGAAGCCCACCAGTTGCTCTAGAGACCTGCAGCAAGAAAGTAGCCGGCCAGAATCTCGGAGGCACCAAGACCTCAGCCCAGTGCTTCACCCTGAGTGAGGGCAGTCTCTCACAGCAGCATGGTGAAGTACCAGTTTGCTATTACCCCGGTTATGTGTGTGTGTGTGTGGGAGGGAGGGGCAGGATCCTGCCACAAGTGGCAACACAGCATCTTGGGCCAGCAGTCAGAAATCGTTGTGGTTCTCCATTAGATCCAGCAGATCAATTTCCCCCAGAGGAAGGAAGAATCTGGGAGAAACACTACTTGGATCATATGTCTGACCTTCATAGTTGTGGATGTGGTCAATCTCAGAGTCCATGGACCAGAAATGCAGTTGTTTGTGTGTGAAGAGGCAGCCTGATTCTGGATAGGAATGGTGAAAAAGTCTGTGTTTCAGTTAAAAAAATGAAAGAAAGGCAGGCTAGTCCTGGGGCAAGACTCACACAGCGAATATAGAAGCACAGCACTGCATCTTATTCTGACTAAGGATTTGTTCTTAGAAGGGGCATGCAATATTTTCTGCTTGATAAATGGCCTCCAAGCAGATTGACAGGTTTAAAATGTCAATATATGTAGAAGCAAGGGATATTTTGCAAAGCTTTGAGGAACCAGTTTTGCTTTGCATACAGGGTCATAAATAAAAAAATCCCATATCTATAGTATGTGGAGGGAAAAGCCCTGGTGGTCACACTTGTGCTTTTCTTTTTAGATATTAACTCCTTAGCAAGCCAAATTTTCAGATGTATCAGATAATTAATCACTCCAATAATAGGTGTCTCATTAATGATCATGTATAGCATGAGTTTCATGCAAATTTTTGTTGCAGAGGCATTACCTAGCAGCCAAAGATAAGACATTCAGAACTGCAAGAACCTGACAATGAAGCTGGTAATACCAGTGTCATTTCAGCAATATTTGAGATGCGCTTTATTCTTCCCCCTGGGGAACCAAGTGCTAGCATTTAAACTGCTGTCATTTCATTATTCTTACAGCAAACTATTTCATCCTATCTCAAGCAATTACTAACTGCTAATTTGTCTTTTCTTTTTTTTCTGCCAGGAAAATGCTTGCCATATAGATGGGCAATGCTATGCCAAAGGCGATTCAAACCCTACCAGCTCATGTCTACTCTGTGAGCCTGCAATTTCTAAATTCACCTGGTCTATCAATAAAAGTAAGCCCAACAGGCATCAGAGAATTAGTCAGTCTTCGCCCTTTAGTGCCAAAGTCCATATATTCCTATTCTTGTCCTGCACCTGTGCAATGAATATATATTTGACATTTCTCTAGGCTGTAAGCCACATTTTTGCAGGGAAAAGCCTTATTCTTGTTAATTGGAATACTGTGGAGCAAAGTAGGTAGCAGATTTTAGAACCTACTGGTTTTACACGGGTTCCAGTGCAAGTTCAAATATTCCTGCATTCTCTTCCAAGCCAATTGCCAGCCTAGAAATCGACAATCCAAGAGAAGTCAGAACTGATAAAAAGCATATTAGGCCATGGTTGCCCTTGAGAATCTAGGAGCAGCACTGGGCCAGTGCCTAAGGGGTGCGAGCCCTTGGGCACACCCTTAATGAGCCCCATTCCTCAGGGAGTCTCCCTGCTCCTACCATTGGCACCAGCTTCCATTGTCCTTTGTCCCATTGCTACCACTTGCTTGCATCACGGGCAGGCAGTAAACAAGGAGATGTTGCATCTCCTGCTGTTCTATTGCCTGCATCAGAGGGAAAGGCGGATGGACCAGCAGGCTACCATGGTGAAGAGCAGGACCAGTTCTGGTGGGGCCTGCTGGGGTGTGGACCCTCATGGTCCTGGCGAAATAGAGCTCCTTGCTTTTTTCTGGGTTTCCCGCAATTTTTACAGTTATTTGCCCATAAATGTGCATCCCTAAGCCACAGCAATCACAATCAAAGTCAGAAGCTAATCATTTGCTACTAAAATATGAAATGACTTCTGTGCCTCCACCTCTTCTCTCCAGAGGGAGAGAGAGAGAGAGAGTCATTCACATATTTTTACTCCTCGTCCCAGATAAGATGATAACTTGAGGGGATAATTTAGACTCTGTGATTTCTATTATCAAATGTTGATTAAAAGAAGAACAAAAAGGCTAAGGTCAACATGAAGAACAGCCCACTAGGAACAAATGTACTGATTTTATCTGGTGTCTCTATTCCTGTAATTTTTACAGTATATATTATATTCTTGTAGGTCACCAACTTAAATTCTCATTCAATCACTTGTATCTTTCAGTAAATAATTGCCTTCTGGTTGTACCATGAATCAGAGAAATCACTGTATTTCATATCAGCCCTGTTGCATTTTGATATTTTGTTTAGGCAACTTGCCCCCGGTGTTCCATGCTCCCCCTGGCCAGCTGCTAGCATTTGAAGGAGAGAATTTTGTTTACCAGCTGGTAGCAGTGGATCCAGAGAGCTCGGCTGTGCTGTTTACCTTAGAAGGTGGCCCCCCGGAAGCCTCCCTCTCTCCTGCTGGCCTTCTCCTCTGGAAAGCCAGCTCTGCGGAATCGGAGAACTTTGAATTCACTGTGTCCGATGAATGCAACATGCAAAGCAGACACTCAGTCCAGGTAGGAAGGGGACTCTTCAGAAAACGGGTTTCTTGTGCTGTTGGTTACTTTCATTATAGCTAATAATTTGTTACTGTCTTTAAAAAGCTAAGATTTCAGCTATTTTCAAGTAAGTGCATATTATCCAACATGACAGTAATGATCAATTAATCTAATAAATATCTCAGAGAACGTAAAACCCATGCATAGCATGAACAAGAGAGGAGAATATCGATTGCTGTCTAGAAGAACACTTTTGCCGAGCCTGTTAATGGTTCATTAATCTGCTTTAAAATTCACTGTGTGCATTTGGATCTTTGAAGAGAAGCACATCACAACATAAAAGACCAGGTTTTAGCCATAAAGAGGAGATTATAATTCATTTGCAACGATATTTTTAGAGGTTCCTGTGCTCTTATGTCATTACTCCACTGCCTTGGTTTCTTGGCAGTGCTTCTTCTCTGCTTTGTCTTTATTGCAAGGTGTTTCATTAATCCTAAAACAGCACAGGCTAGTAAGGGAAATGCACAGAAAGAAGAAACTTACAATCTGAAGAGTCTGGCTAACGAGGGTTATGCGGAATGAACATAGATCCAGACCACCAGATCTAGAATGGACATTCTACCACACCCATATTTACCTGGGAGTATTAGCAAAATGTATAGGGTAGATCCCTTGCATAGTCAGGGCCAAACCTGACATTATGCAAAATGCCACTGAAATGGCAAGTGTGTGACTAGCACCGCTTTCCTTTCTTTAATGTCTAGAAGTTAACAGTGTCCTGACATGATTTCATGATAACCTGCAGTTGTGACATCAGGAATGGACTAAGTGTCATTATAATGTTACAAAGGGGAAGGGAAATAAACACACACTGTCGGTTTCCTGCGGCAGCCATGCATTTGTCACAGTGCAGATTGGTGCTCGGGGCCTCTCAGTAATGTTCCAGGCCATATAGTTTTGTATCTATGTTTTCATATTTGCCCCAGTCCTTCTATTTTTTAGGTTTCAGTGAAGCCTTGCAGCTGTGTGAATGGTGAAATATGCGTCACCAACATTCACTTCCCTCCAGGTGCTGGTGCATATCTCTGCACATGCCCCAGTGGCTTCGAAGGGGAACTTTGTCGGAACAGCAATAAAAATTGCAAATCAAACCCGTGTGCAATTGGCTCTTGTATAGATACAATAGATGGCTACATTTGTAAATGTCCAGCTGGTTGGAAAGGTAAGCTGAGCATCACAGTGGACTCTGAAGTCTTCTCCCTTTTGTGGTTAATTTTGGCACCGATCTATATGCTGTATGCTATGTCTGTCATGGGGAGGATATTTAAATACTAATTTGAATTACTGACCCTAAGATGATGGGGTTGTGTAGGATGAACAATTTCCTAGTAAGCTCACATCTTTGATGGAAGCTGGTTGTGAATTGGACACTTCTGCTAGTGTGGGTGGTCTGCACGGTGAGCTGCTTTACCTAATATGCAGCTGCTGTTTCAAGTGGTTCCATTAGCATCCAAATAGATAGGGATGTGAGCATGAGCAAAACTCATCAGGGTTCACTGAATTATTCCTCGAAGCTCATTCGGACTTGTGCCCATATCAATGGCATAGAGGGGTTTCTTTGCAAGAGAAACCCCCCATATTTTCATGCACTTGTTCCCAAAGTTTTCTCAATGAGGCACATTTTTTCAAAAGTGCAAACATGTCATGTGTACTTTTTCAAATGTACACATTGCTGAACACTTTTTGTGTGGAATCCAATCCTGAGCTTAGCAATATACAGACTTCGACTTACGGTTGCATCCATATCTGTGTTAGGTTCTGGGAAGTAGGAACTGGGTAAAATCCAGTCAAAACAAACTGATTTTTTTTTTCATACCTTCCGACACAGACATAGACCCTTGGGAGTGATAGTTATTATTCCATCCTTCTCTGTGACACCTTTTCAACTTCCATGCCACAGCATTCTCCTTCAGATGAAAGCAAAAGGTATCAGGGCAGATTTCACTGCAGCCGACAGTGGCAACTGATGCCACCTTTCATACTCAAGGTTGGCGCTATCATTAAGCATTCATCTCAGATGGCAGATGCTGGGAGATGGAGCAAGGTGCTGGAAAATGGATCTGCATGCTATGCAGCCTCTTCCGCATTCTCTGAGTCAGCCAGCTGCCTTCAGTTGCCATGGAGGATGCTGTTCAGTGTTGCAGCAGATCCATCTGCTAATCCAGACAGCTTTTGGACTTGTAACAGAAGGGAGCACCAACTTATTCTACACCGCAGGAAGCAAAATGTCTTGGGCCAGCCTATTCACACTTCTAAAGCATTGCCTTAATATACCGTCCGAAGCAAAGGCATGCGGGTCTCCACTGTGGTCAGATTTGTCTCCTGTCTAAATTGAATTTTGGAGCAGAAGGAAAAGCCCATGAATCAGATGTGTGTCGCACAATTTAGCCTATTGCTTAATTTGTGTCGATTAGGAAATACGAAGTGTTTCTGACATCTATAATTCTCACTTGTGTGAGGAGTTTCCAATAATCAGAGTCCACATCAAAGTCTTTTAGCAAGACAGAGGTATTGTTCCTTGATAAGTCACTAGATGTAGAATTAAAATGGAAGCTCAACACAACACTTAATATTAAATATATCATTCAGCCATGCCCTTTCCCTAACCTGATTCCCTGCATAATATCTCACAGACAAGGCTCATTTAGCAAAGATCCCGTCTAATGCCAAAAGAAAGTCTTCTGTTTGTAGGTTCAGCCTATTTTTATGTTCCCTGCTGATTTGCTGGGGAATTAGTCATGAATGGCCTTTCATTTGCCCCTTGAGTAGCCACTGTGAATGGCCACAGGGCTCGTTTTGCTTCTTGAAGGAGAGGCTTTAATTACTGATGTGAATGGCTAAATCAGGGGCTATTCATCACTAAGGAATTTTATATATTTCATTCAGTCTATTATCTAGGAGTCCAGACAAATTTCAGGCAGATTTTCATTTCGAAGTCGAGATGTTCAGCAAGCAAAACTGTCACATTTCCAGTAAAGTTAATTTAAGTCATCAAGGCATTCTTAGTATATATGATCCTGTTAGTCTTGGAAGCTGATACATTGCTCTACAATTGGGTTAAGCCTGACATGCTCAATAACATGAGAAAAAGAAAATGTGGGAAATTCAGTAGTTTTGACATCAAATGAAAAGAGGAAACATTTCAATTCTTTAGATTAAAGGAGATAAGATTATTCTTTCAGGTTTCCTCCAGTGGTAGCAAATGCATTGGGAACCCTTCCTTCCTTCCTTCCTTGCTCGCTTCCCTTTTGACCTTGGGCCACCAACCTCCATGGTTCACGCTGCATCTAGTTCACTTCCTCTGAATGCACTGTGTTCCTTCCTGTATTTGTCTTCCCCTGTATTTTCTTTTGTTTGTTTTTTGAGGGGGGTACGCAATTCTTGCCATTTCCATATTCCATGCTCTCTCTCTCTCTCTCTCTCTCTCTCTCTCTGTGTGTGTGTGTGTGTGTGTGTGTGTTTCTTTCATACTGCTGCAGCCTGATGCGCTCATATCCATGAAAGCAGTGGCAGAGTGGACAGTAAATGTTTGTGTCAGATAACTGTTCTTAAGAAGGAGATTTCCCATGCTCTGTTGTAGCAAATTGGATGATTTCTAATTCACACACTCAAATGCCTAAAGCGAATGGATGCCTTAGTACAACAAAGGGAGACTGAAGCCAAAGTATGAAGGAAATCAGATCCTGTGAGTATATAGGAACCTCTTCACTGCTATTGCGCGCACGCGCACACACACACACACACCCCACCACCATTTTCCATTACCTGGAAGAAACACTGCTTCCTAAGGTAATGCCCATTCTGGTTGAATGCTAGTCAGCTATTGATAATACCCTCCTCTTGAGCCACAGTATCATAGCAATAGGATATCTGCATGTTAATGGAAGAGTGGCCTGCTTCAATCACTTCTCTTTCCTTTCTAGTTCATTTAAATAAAATATTCATTGTCTTAGCATTGTTTTCATGACCTGAAAACAGCAAACACAGGGAGGAGGGGGCAGAAATGAAGGAGTGATTGAGTGACATAGGAATACCTCTCAATGTTTTAATGGCAGGTAAAAAAAAATATATGCAAGTATAGCTGAAGCCAGCTGGGAGGCAGATGATTTTACTTCAGGGCAGGTTCTGTTACAGCAATAAAAGCTTATCCTTGATGTTGTGTTTATGTCTCAATTCCCCAGAAAGCCATCAATAATCTAATGAGAAGGCAACGCTGCACTGCTCAAGTGACAAGACCGTTTCAGCATCACATCTTTACAAATGATAGCAAACAGATAGTAGAAACAAAGTGCTTACTCTTTAGAGAGCACCTTAAGTATTATCTCTGGAGAAGCAAGTTGCTGAAAATGTGGGAAGTGTTGTTATGCATACAGAAATACATGTGCATTCCTAATCCCTCTCGGCTATCACTGATAGGGCAACAGTAATTTAGGAGGCGTGCTGAGGGAACAGGTAGAGGGGCAAAGATAAACATGAGCAGGAGCAATGGGAATCTCTGTGTAGAGTGCGGGCCCAGAGTTCATTTACTGTAATTTAAACTTCTATAACATACCTTCCCACTGGGACATGATTCTAAATGCATTTTCAGATATTCAAAACATTCAGGGCAGATGCTCAAGGAAGCCATGTGACACCGTCATCAACAAGCTTGAACAATGAACTGAAAAGGGGCCAGCCCTCTTCCCTGAAAAGCACACTTTTTTCTATTTTCTTTTTGGGGTGCGTGTGTGTGTGTGTGTGTGTGTGTGTGAGAGAGAGAGAGAGAGAGAGAGAGAGAGCT